CAAGGCCCCCCGCGCCCTGCCCGGCTCCCGCGCGCCCTGCACATGTCCCAGGCCCGGCCCCACGTGCCGCGCGCTCCGCGCGGCGCCCAGGCCCGGCCCCGCGCACCGTGCGCGGCCCCCAGGCCCGGCTCCCCGCACCTTGCCGGGCTCCTGGTCCCGTGCACGGCTCCCAGGCCCGGCCCCACGCGCCGTGCTCGGATCCTGGACCCGCGCACCCCGCACGCCACCCAGGCCCGGCCCCATGCGCCCTGCGCGGCTCCTGCTGCCCAGCCCGCTGCAAGGCCCCCCGCGTCCTGCACGGGCCCTGATCCCACGCGCGGGTCCCGGCCCCGCGCCCCCCACCCGGCTCCGGGCCTCCCGCACCTCCCCCAGCCCCACGCACCGGGCCCGGGGGCGGCCCCGCGTGGCTCTGGGCCCCACGGGCTCGCAGCGCGGCCCGGCCCCACGTGCTCTGCCCGCGCCCCGCGAGCCCCGACCGGGCCCACGCGGGGCACCGGCCCCAGCGCCCCACGAGCCGTGGCGGGGGGTGGTCCCGCCATCCCCCGGGCCCCGCATCGCCCCGAACCGAGTGAGCGGCGCCAAGTCCGGCCGCGCCGCGGGCCCATCAGGTGCACGGCCCGTGCGAATAATAATAACAAATATCATCATTATTATTAATAACAACAAAACGCACCACCCGCGCGTCCTTGCAAACAGCGAGCGAACCAGGGGTGCCGGCAGCCCCAAATCGCTCCCCAACCCCCGAMAAGCGAGCACTCACAGTCAGCCTGGTCTCCGAGCCGGGGCTTTAATTTTTTTCCTCCTCTTTTTTTCTCTTTATTTATTTATTTTTCCTTCCCGGCGTGTCTTGTGCTGGGAGCGAATTAAAGCCCCCCCCTCCTGGCGGCTGCTGCTCGCAAATGCGGATCTGAAAGGAGAAGCAGAGAGAGAAGGAGAGAGGCAGCAGCTCAACACGCATCCCCGGCGCGGCCAGGCCCCCTCCGATTTATACAAATAAATTAAAAAAAAAATCGCTCCGGGAGGAAGGAAGCTGGCTCAAAATCATCTGCGGGGAGCGAAGAAAAAAAATATGGAAAAAAAAAAAGGGGGAAGAAAAGGAGGAGGAGGGGGAAAAAAAAAAAAAAAAAAAAAAAAAAAAAAAAAAAAAAAAAAAAAAAAAGGCGATCTCCAAGCCTTACTGGAGGGGATCCAACTGCTAAAAATAGCCAAATCACACTCGAAATTAAATAAGGGCGAGCAGGAGGGAGCTCCCGGCGCGGCGGAGCGCGCAGGGGAGGAGCYGCCTGCATCACGGCCGGGGGCGGCGGCGCCGGGAGCGATAGGTCGGTTCAAAGAGCGGCGGCGGCGGCGATGCGGGACCCCGGGGCGCGCTCGGTGCCGCGGGCGCCCCGCGGGATCCCTGGGGGTGCTTCACCCTGCGCGCTCCCTTGGCATGGGTGCCTTTAGCGCTGGCTCCTTTGGGGGCTGCTTCACCGTGTACACTCCCTTGGGGTGCCCTCTTTCAGTGCTGCCTCGCTTGGGGTGCCCTTCTTCAGTGCTGCCTCTCTTGGGGTGCGTTTCACCCTGTAGACTTCCTTCGGGTGCCCTCCTTCAGTGCTGCCTCCCTTGGGGGGTCCTTCACCCTGTGGGCTCCCTTGAGGTGCACTCTCTCTGTGCTGGTTCCTTTTGGGGTGCTCTTCACCATGTGGGCTCCCTTGGGGTGCCCTCACTTGGTGAGGGCTTGTTTGGGGTGAGTTTCACACTATGGGCTCGCTTGGGGTGGGTTTGCTTGGCTTGAGCAGCACCCCCTGGGCTGGCTTGGRGTGCACTTGCTGAGTGCTGGCTCCCTTGAGGTGAGCAACACCCCACGGGCTCCCTTGGGGTGCGCTCACCCGCTGCGGGCTCCCCTGGAGCGAGCAGCACCCCAGATGTTTGCTCAGGGTGAGCAGCACCTCACGGGCTCGCTCAGAGCGGGCCTGCTTGGTGCGYGCTCGCCCAGGATGAGCAGCACCCTGCGGCTTCGCTTGGGTGAGGGGGGGTCGTTCAGGGTGATCAGTACCCCYCACGGGCCTGCTTGGTGCTCACTCAGGGTGAGCTTGCCCAGCATGAGATAATAATAATAATAATAAAAATAATAATAATAATAAATGGGGGGGCGGGGAAGAGAAGGGAAAAAAAGGCAGCATTTTGGTACTTTGTGCTATTTTAAAACTGCTCCCTGGACTGTTCCTGGCTGAGACGCAATGAAGCTGTCCCTGCACCCCCAAAACCAGCCTGTGAGCTCTGACTGCCCTGCAAAGCCGGGAGCTGGATTTGCCCTCTGGCCCGGTGTTATTAATATCCCTGGGTGTTTATCCCGGGGGTGGTGAGCAGCTGTAACTGGAGAGGGGTGCCAGAGCCGGAGCTACCGCTCTGGAGCTTGCGCTGCTTTTTTTGGGCCTGGAAAAGAGAAAATGAAGGGAGAAATGGGGGCTTTGGGGTTGTTTTAGTGCTTAGGGTTGTTATTGGACCCTGGGTTTCGATAGTGGCCGTGCTGAGGGGTGGGACGGACAGACGGACACAGCCGGGCCTTTGTTTCGCTCCATCTTTTGTTTCCCTGCGGCCCCGTTGCCGGAGCCCCATGTGGCTGCGCGGCTCCATCTCTGTAATTTCATTAGCAGCTTCTGMGCAGAGGTTTGGGGATGCAGGGTCCTGAATCCTGCTAATAACCTGGGAAAGGGGAAATTCAGCTGGCATYTTTAATCAGAAAATATCCCAGCCCAGATTGCTGGTAATCGGGAGCCCACCGGGCTACCTGGAAGTTTTGAGAGTTTTGTCACCTCCGAATCCCCCTTGAACAGCAGTCGATTCCTGCTGCYGGTTCGGGGCCTTGCAGAGATGCATGTGATTATCCCGATTTCACGAATGGGAAACACGGATTGGAGGCTGTGAGACTTGTTGGAGGCCAGGCCACGTGTTGGCAGCCAAGAGGGAATTAGCGGTGGCCTCCAGTGCTTGGGAAGCCACTGTCTGAACGTCCCCTCCCTGGGGACCTGCCGGGTCCTGCATCCACCTGGACGGCTCCTTCCCGCGGATGCCAGCCTTTGGATGCAGATGCAGGTGGAGGTGTTTGTTGGTACCTCTGATAAAAGCCAGCTCAGGGTGGCTATTGTGCTTGCTGCGGTGCCACGGGCGCTGCTCCGAGCGGGATAAATTTGRAGGGAGGGAAGGGATGGGGCAGAAGGAACTGGAGCACGGGTGCCCTTTGTACCTGGAAAGCAGTGGCCAGATCCACTGGGACCGAGCCAAGCCCATCAGGTGCTGCCTTGTTTGGAAAGCTGTGCCGGGAAGCGGCCCCTGGGATATGGCTGGCTCYGAGCTTGGAGCATCCAGAGGTGGGAGAAAAATAACCCTGCAGGGCGGCTGGATGCGCTCCCTGCTCTGAGGGCTGGGCCAGGGCTTTGTTGCCCCATGATTGCAAAAGCTGAGGTTGTTTTCCCACTTTTTTGTTTGTTTGCRTTAGAAATGTTTTTAAAAATATTTTAAACGCTTCTAGGACCCTGTGCTTTGAGGGGTGTGCAGCTGCTACATATGCAATGACCACATATACCCACTTATATGTATAGGTGACATGTGTATGCATGCACAGCCCTAGCAAAGGGCTAATTCCACTAAGGGTTTGGCAGACGGGCGTCCCGGAGCCCCAAAGTCTCATCTTGCCCCCAGCTTTGGCAGGGTGCGGGAAGGCAGGTGTCCCAGTGTCGGGACTGGGAAGCGGCTCCGGCTCCCGTATCCGTGGCCAAGGGGATCCCGTGGGAGCTGCACCTTGGCCTGCGCCTACTTCTTCCCTCCGCTTTTCCGGGGCAGGAGCAGCTCCCGCTGCCGGCGTCGCTGCTGTTCTGCTGCGCGGTTCCTCCCCGCGGCCTCATTTCRCAGCCCCACGCGGGGGGCCGGGAAGCCGCGCGCTGCTCCGGCTCCTGGAGCACAATGGCCTTTTGTGTGCCGGAGCATCCCGCCATCCCGCGCTCCCAGTAACATGAGCCCTGCGGCTCCCGCTCCGGAGCAGGGAGATGCTGGGGCAGCCCTGCTGGGCCAGGACCGTCCTGTCCCCACCTGGGCACCCGGCACCTTCCCCTTGGCACCTCATTGACCCCGAGCAGAGCAGCTGGGGCTGCCACGGGGCATCTGGGGTAAAACCTGGAAGTTTGGGGCAAAAAAAAGACCTGCTAACGCTCCCCAGAGCCCCTTCTGCTCCCTGCCCCGGGGGCTGACAAAGGAGGGTAGGAAGGGCAGTGGAGGCGACACTGTAAATCACGAGCGGCGCCTGTGCCGTGGGGTCGTTAACCATGGACCCGCTGTTGGCTCGTGGGGAGTCTGCCCGGGATTAATCCAAGGGCTTGAGTGCAAGTGGCAGAGCACGAGAGCGGGAGGTGCCGCGGGGACACGGAGTGAGGAATGAGGACCCTGCCCCGCCGGGGACCGCAGGACACGCAGCGTGAGGAGCCCCAGAGAGGGAGCTCCAGGAGCTCCAGGTCGCCCAAGGAGCTCCAGGTGCTCTTGCTTCCATGGGGGATGTTTTTATTCCCCTTTCCAGCTGAGTTTGGGCAGGAGCGCGGGGAGGCTTTGGCTCTGCCTTGCTGCGCGCCTGCCTGGGCAGGTGCACCCATCTGCATGGGTGCCTGCGTATGCACCCCATGCATGCCTATGTACTGGGGGCAGTTCTGGGCTCCTCAGCACGAGAAGGTTGTGGAGTTTCTAGAGAGGGGCCAGCGYGGAGCAGCAAAGATGATTAAGGGACAGGAGCGTCTGTCATACAAGGAAAGACCAAGCGAGCAGGGTCTGTTCAGCCTGGAGAAGAGAAGGGTGAGAAGGGATCTGATCAACATGTACAAGTACCCAAGGGGAGAATGTAGGGAGGAGGGGGGCAAGCTCTTCTYGGTGGTGGCCAGTGACAGGACAAGGACCAATAGGTCCAAGTTGAAACCCAGGCAGCTCCATCTCCACGTGAGGAAGAACTTGGCTCTGAGGGTGCCAGAGCGCTGGCACAGGCTGCCCAGGGAGGCAGTGGAGTCTCCTTCTCTGGAGGTCTTCCAAYCCACCTGGATGTGACCGGGTGCCCYGTGCTCTGGGTGTCCCTGCTGGAGCAGGGGGCTGGACTGGATGATCTCCAGAGGTGCCTTCCARCCTCAWCCATCCTGTGATTCTGTGGTACGTCTGCACCCCGTGCGTGCAGCTCCCTGGGGCTTAGCTCGCTGCTGGAGACGCGGGTTCCCTGGGGCAAAGGGGAGGCAGCGCCTTGTTGGGTGTCCAGGAAAACACCCGCCCCGGCCAAATTCCCTGACACTTTCCCTTTTACTCAGCTCCCRTTGGAAAGGTGCCCAGGCCCCGGGACTTCCCTTGCTGCCCGTGACTCAGGTGCTGGTCACGGTGGTGACTCATGAGGGAGGGGACGTGTCRTGGGCTACACTTGCTGCCTGTGACCTGCAACGCCCCAGGGATCTGCTGGAAATAGGGATGAGGGGAAGCACGGGAGATGTAGGGCAAGCGGTGGGGACCTGCAGGTGGGAATTGCTGGCGCTAAATAATTAATTTGCAATAACCCTTTCATGGAGTCACATCCGCACCCTGCCCCCAGCTCRCTGTCCAGGCAGTTCCCCTTCCCCGCCAGCCCATCAGGAGCGCTGGGATTTCCCCTCGGCTGCCCCAGTGGATCTTGTCACCTCCAGTGGATTTTACTGGGTCYCCAGTGCCTACAAAATAGTGCATTTTGGGGAGAAAAAAAAAAGAAAAGCCAGACTTTGCGGCAGATGGGCAGAATAA